CAATGAAAAATTACTAGGCATCGGCTGATATGAGGAGTGTGTGCAATCAGGATCCTCCCATGAATTTGTATATATAATATAATATATTATATTATATATACAAATTCATGGGAGGATCCTGATTGCACACACTCCTCATATCAGCCGATGCCTAGTAATTTTTCATTGCTTTACCAATGAGAATATTTTATTTTTAAATTTGCCAATTAGCGACGCATATGTGCAACATGCAATGTGTGCAATCGGAACCTTCCTCAAATTCACATAGAATTATTTAAAGGTTTAAAAATCTTAAAACAGCTCTTTAAAACAATTTCAACCGTTATGGCCTTTATTCCCTATTGGTTATTTTTATTTTTTAAAAGATTAAGGAACCTATTCTGTAACTCTTAACATGTAATTGTAACGTTTATAGTCGTTAAGTTAAGCCGATTTATGTAAGACACAGAACGCGAGTCACAGGTTGTAAGCTTGTTGCGTCAGCCAATTTCAAAGTGTTACTTTTAAAATTGACGCGTCGGATTGACTGACGCAACAAGTTTGCGACTCGCGTTCTGCACCTCATATAGATCGGACTTTACAGAATAGGTCCTTAAAATTCTTATGAAGAAGAGGTAATTAATCAAATCCATGTGATTTATATAAGTTCTTTCTAAATTTTTAACCAAAAAAATTTTATTAAATTATATTTTATTTATTTTTTACTAGGTGTATAAATCTCAACGTTTTCGTGCTGGTAAAGGTAAAATGCGTAATCGCCGACGCATTCAGCGGCGTGGACCTCTAATTGTATATGGTCAAGATCAGGTAAGCAATTTTCTTTTGAAGTTTTTTCTCTATTGTCTGACAATTCAATCTGTAAACAAAATTCGAATTAAAATAAATTTTATTCACATTTATATGCAAACTTAATTATTAAGCCTAGGAAATATAAAAAATTGCTATATAAATCACATTATAATTTTTAGGGTATCCGTAAAGCATTCCGTAATATCCCAGGCGTTTCTCTGATGAACATCAACAAGATGAATCTGTTGAAGTTGGCACCTGGCGGTCACGTCGGACGCTTTGTAATCTGGACGAAATCCGCTTTTGAGCAATTGGATGCCCTTTATGGAACCTGGCGTAAAGAATCACAGCTTAAGAAAGGATATAACTTACCATTTCCTAAAATGGCCAACACGGATCTATCCAGACTTCTAAAGTCTGAGGAAATTCGCAAAGTCTTGAGAGCTCCTAGGTAATTATAGACGAAGAAAAAAAGATCTTTTATATATATATAGATCGGCAATTAAATTCGTAAATATACTTTTTTTTTTTTTTTTTTTTTCATTTGAGCGCACTGAAATGCTATTTCGAGAAGCCCATTCTATCTATCATTCATGATAAATAATGTGACTAATATGTTTTATTAAATGCAATTATAGAAAGAAGGTGGTGCGTAGAGTAAAGAAACTGAACCCGTTGACCAACACACGGGCTATGCTGCGTCTCAATCCGTATGCTGCAGTTCTGAAACGTGCTGCCATTCTGACTGCGCAAAAACGTCAGCGTGAAAAGGATTTGATTCTCGCTGAAAAACGAGGCGTATGTACTATAATTAACTGTGATTTTTTATTATATATATTTTAGACTTATATAGTAGTATAGAAGGAGAATTGCGCAAAAAGTATACAGTTTGTATTCAAAATTTTGAATTACTTATCGATCAATTTATGGATATTACAGATAAAATTGTCAAAGAAACCGTCGACGACGAAGACCATCGCACTTTTGAAAAGAAGGAAAGAGCAACTGGCTAAATACAAGACAACCGTGAAAAAGACCTCGAAAGCTAAAGTTGACAAAGATACTACGAAAACCGCTGCGCCTACCAAGCAGCCAACTAAAAAGTAAACAACAAGCGTTGGCAACATCAACACTGTTGTAACTCATAATTTTATCATTGTCTTCAAATAAAAGGCGAAAAATTATAACTAATTGTCTTCATAAACATTTTAATCTTTCTTAATTCTACCTAATTCTCTCTAATCTTCTTTAATCTTCCTAATTCTCTCTAAGAAATCTATGCTTAACTATAAGTCCATTTATTATAAGACGCATTTAATATACATCACCATCTACATTTAGAACAATATTAAAAATTTAATTAATTTAAATTTATTTGAAGTAGATTTCATTTTGTGTCAATTTTCTATTTATTTAATTTAGAATTTTAAAAATTAAATAAGTAGAAAAAATGCTAAATACGGTCAATTAGATATTGATATCTAATAATATTTCTATATGACTTTGTGCAATACATTTTCTAAATCTTCATACAGTTCAATTATAACATTTTATTTTGCATTATATGAGTTGTAATTTATTTGAGGTTTTCGGTGATAATTTTTGACGCGCGTATTTTTGGAAATATATTTTTAAAGGTTGCATTTATTTAAGCAAAATCAAATATTTTTTCCGACGTGCATTTTTAAAAACTATTACATGTGATGTGATAGATTAAATTTCACACCTTATGTCGGGCTAACAAAAGGCAAAAATCAATCGATGTGTATCACTGAGCGCGATTAATGAAATAAGGCTATTATTTCATTTGTGTGTTTTTGTCGGACGACAAATTTTTCAATCACTTGTTGATTGCTTATAGTAAGTTCCTATAATCCACAGAGTCAACCGAGTAAAAAGGAAACCAAACTCAAGCGATCGGTGCCGAAAAAAATGGACTTGAAACGATGTCGGAAAAGCGCTGTAATAGAAGAATAGAGTTGCGGATGTGGTAGTGAATCTGTGAATTAGTATGAGCAACTCTTTCATGGTGTAGTAGTACAAAAAAGCACGAATGCGAAATCGGACTCAATGATGGAATTGTGCTGTTTCCGACCGGCACTCGACAATGGCGTATTTCCACTCTTGTGTCGTGATTCTTATTAAAGGAACTCTATGGAAGAACAAATTCTAGCGCTCCTATCGGAGAAAACTGTAAACTTAGAGGATTTGATAAATATTCTTTCTCCCATTTTCCTGTAATTCTGTAAAGTTATGTATTTTCATACGTAGAATACATAAAAAAATAAAAATTGTCGTTCAAGTCTCGTTTTTATTCTTTTTAATTTCAAAATTTTTTGATGTCGGTAAGTTAAAGAACGATAATTTAATGAGCATAAATGTATATATTTTTTAATAAATATTGATGCATTTATTACTTAATCAAATAAAATTAAATTTTATACATATAATACATTTTATAATATATATATTAAAACATTTTATAATATAATATTAAATTAGAATTTCTATATTAAAAATAAAACGTGCATATATATATATATATATATA